CCCCCCATCTATATTTGTAAATAGGGGGGAAACTATTGGCTAGCTCATTCCCCTTCCACTCAATGTATTAGCTCATAGGCAGGACCTCTATGCTAGCTGATTCGCCCCCTCCCTATATTAGTTCATAAGGAGGATATTAGCTAGATGATTCTTTCCCCTCTGTATTCGTTAATAGGGGAAACTATTGGCTAGCTGATTCATAGCCCTCTCTGTATTTGTCAATAGAGGGAAAATTATTGGCTAGCTGATTCTTTCCCCCAGCTGTATTTGTTCATAAGGGAGATACTATTGGCTAGCTGATGCTTTGCCCCTCTGTATCTGTCAAAAATCGGAAAACTATTGGCTACCTGATTCTTTACCCCTCTGTATTTGTTAATAGGGAGGGAACTATTGGCTAGCTGATTCTTTCCCCTCTCTATTTATTAATACTGGAGAACTAATTGGCTAGCTTATTCCTCTTCCCCTTCTTGTATTAGCTCATAGAGGGGAACTATTTGCTAGCTGATTCCCCTTCCCCTCCTTGTATTAGTTCATAAGAGGGATATTAGCTAGCTGATTCTTTCCCCCTGTGTATTATTAGTTCATATGTACTACTGGCTAGCTGATTCTTTTCCATTCTGTATTTATAAATAAGGGGGGGGGGGGGGACTTCTGGCTAGTTGATCCCCCCCCCCTCTGTATTTGTTAATAGGTGGAAAATATTGGCTAGCTGATTTTTTAGCCTCCTCTGTATTTGTCAGTAGAGGGGAAAATATTGGCTAGCTTGTTCTGTCCACCTCTATATTTGTAAATAGGGGGAAAACTTTTGGCTAGCAGATTCTTTCCTCCTCTCTATTTTTTAACTGTGGGAAACTATTGATTAACAGATTCTTCCCCCTCTGTATTTGTTAAAAGGAGGGAAACTATTTGCTTGCTCATTCCCCTTCCCCTCCCTGTATTAGTTCATAAGGGAGATATTATTGGCTAGTTGATACGTTTCCCCTCTGTATTTCTTAATAGGGGGGAAGTATTGGCTAGCTGATTCTTTCCCCTTCTGTATTTGTAAATAGAGAGGGGGAGGGGGCTTTCCCTGATACACCCCGCCCCTCCCCCTCTGTATTTGTTAATAGGTTAAAACTATTGGCTAGCTTGTTCTCTCCACCTCTGTATTTGTAAATAGGGGGGAAACTGGCTGGTTGGTTTTGTAAACGGCACCAACTACCACCCCGTTCCTCAACTGGATGACCAAGAGAACTAGGAGGGGCACTGTATACATCACCTCGACGCTGCCTTGTTTTTGATGGAGTAGAGGTGTGGCCCGATGGTGTGGACGGGTTTCGTGTCTTTTTCTAACCATGTCTACTTGGATTCTCGACCACTTCACTGAAAGTCATCTGCTGTTCCGTATTATGCCCAGTTGGCTCGACGTACAACTCCCCGTCTATAAATAGTCGGTCCCTGGCTAATTCCACTTTATGTCCACCTCTCTTGTAATGTTTTTTCATTGGGTACAGGCGTTTCTTCCTAACCTCAACTTCATTTTGAAATTGTTCGTTAATTCGAAAATGTGACCATCGCCGCAACTCCGGTCTATCTCCGACCAGCTCTAAGTCCTTTTGGTACACAAACACTGCCATAATTGGTCGCGGTTTTCTTCAAATCTATGCACATTAGTCAGGTCCACAAACTTGCTAATTTCTAACTCATTTTGAAGAAATTCTCGCAGTTTTTTACTCTGTATCTTCTCTATATATCTCTGCTACGCCATGAACAATTAAGTTTCGTTTCATAGACCTACACTGCAGGTCTTCTGGTCTTTTTCCCAGTTCCGACAGGGTCTCTGATGCCCTCATTAACACTATCTATGAACACTAATAATTTGCTTTACATGATTGTAATTGTTTCTTTAATATGTAAACATGTGTAGGTTTTTTTTCGGACTTTACCTCCAATTGTTCATAAATGTATTTATAGCGTTTGCACTTTTTTCAAAATCAATGTTCTTATCTTTAGTCTCCATCATGTCCTTTTCCAGTACTCTCTCAGTTTAAACATATTTTTTCAATATTGTCATATTTAGATACTTGCTTTTCAATCCAATCTGATATCATGTCCATCTTTCCTACGAGACCTAAACGTTTATTAAGAGTGACCTCTATTGTTGTTGGAGTATTAACACGTTAGTGTTCGATTTTGGTTGGTCCTCCGACATTAAACTTTTACGCAACTGTAATACTACAATGATAACCTATCGATAGCAATAATATTTCATAATATTTTGACAAAATGAGGAAAGACATGTTAGCTGATATATTTGTTTATGTAATACATGAATGATAATTTTAATTGTTTTTTTTTCAGATATTTTTTTCCAAAATTCGATTTTGTTCCCCAATCAAATGTATTAGAAGGCTGTCGGGGTTTGGGAGTCCCGGTGTCAGTTTCTTTACAACTTAGTGTCCTCATGCAAGAGGTCTCTCACTCTTTCATGTACTATATAAAATTATGGATACGTATGCTTTCATTAACTTGTTTTGGTAATATGTTAAGTACATATAGTTGAAAAAGGTAGAGAGAAGGATAGGTACATGGAAAGTTATAAGTGTTACATTCAAAACTAAGTAACACAACAATCTTATATAAGCTTATAAGAAATATCTACACTATGTGTAACGTTATAGTGCTTATTATATATATATATGAAGTATAACACACGGAGAGGAGAAAAGAAATAGGTTTCAGCTGTAAATGTTTGCACTTCCTAGTGTTATAAGTATAAATAAATACATTATCATTTATGTTTTTTTTATTTTACAATAAATTCCCCTTTATCGTGCCCTTCGTTTATCCGGAACACCCCGGATGTATCTCTGTCGTATGCTATCACAGTACTACATGTCACAAGAGTTGCACACAATAAAATAAGGAAGGAAGAAAACAAATCCGGTTGTATAGGTTACTTTCTAGTGCTATATTTATATATGTACCTAACTGATACTTGTATACATATGTAATTCCCCTGTATCGTGCTTCATGCTTTTTCGAAACCAACAGGAAGTATCATTGTCGTATGCTATTACAGTACGACGAGAAAATTTTAACTCTAACAGTTGAGATTTTGTTAGTGAAAAGAAGAAGAGGATTTGTTATCTATAAGACGAATTTGTTTATGCAATGAAATTGAAATACGATTGAGCTGTATCGCTGATAAGAGCTTTACATTTTGCAGATAATTAAGGAAGCAATGGCAATACAAAGCTGGACTAGCAAGGGTAAGTTTTGCATCCTATATACATGTTTGTTTTATTGTAATCACTTATTAATAATAATAATAATAATAATAACTTTAATTTTTGAGGATGAAATACATGGGTAGCCAAAGGCTAATCTTCCACATGGTCCTCTTGTTAGTAAAATACATGTGTTAGATACAATAATATATTTACGCAATCGATATATAAATAAACATGGTAAGCTTGCTAGTAAAATACATGTGCTAGTTAAACGTTACATATTTATTGATGCATTCGACTCATATAAGGTTATATCACAGTTATCTTAGTTAAGAGTATCACAAAATGCTTAAAGTTTCATGCAAAGGTATTTCATCAATTAAATGGCATGTGCCTAATATACATACACGCTAATAAATTCTGCGTACTCTAACGATAAGAAACAGAAAAAGAGAGAAAGAGTATTTCCTTTTAACAGCAGACCGTTTGTTTTTAAATAATTGATTTACCAATAAGTAGGCACAAAAATAATCATATATTGCAAGGATCATCATAGCAAATGCATAGTACATCCAAATGCATGTGTACATGTTTGCATATATTGTTGTATTGACAGTTCTAGATCATAACATTACGTTTTAATGCTGCTTGGAGACATTTCGATTGGAGGAGAATTCCTGTTATTTTTCACAGACGTCTGATTGCAATAGACAATTCATAAACAGCAAGATTTGTGTAGCTTCCAGTTTATCAAGCACTTGTTTCGTGCAAGTTATATGTCAAGGGTAAGGCACGGAATATTTTCCTGACCAGAAATGCTGACATATCTGTCTACTAGTGAAGGACTTTTACATAAGCTAGACACACTATATAAGACCCAAATGTCTTACAGGACTGCACACTGTCATTTCTAGTTTTTGAACACACTCCAAACATGCCTATACCTATAAGATATTGGCAAAGAATAACAACAGAATACATAGTTGAATCGAGAATTTCACAACAAAATACCAGAAAGCAGACATCAGTGCCCCGCAGATTTCCTCATTGTATATTTGCCACTCGCATAAATCCACGTTGTTATATGGTATTTTGTATATATATATATTTCAGATATCAGCAACAGACCTATTCAAGAAACAAAGCCACACGTTACGAATCCTACTAGGATTTTCCCTTATCCAACAATCATTCAAAATGAATGTGGTAAGACATGGTATTTTATTTTTATCTGTCACTCGAACCAACTGAGCTGCCTGGTCAACGGTAGTTACTTGGTTACTTGGCTATGCCGTGCCACAGGTATATGAACACGTAACTGTACTTACGAATATCGAAATGGACTTCTCAGTTAGTTTAAACATATTTATTGTAATATATATACAATGGGAGTTGGGCACAAGTTAAACAGCTCATATTAAGCCCTTCCCCTATGACATAATAATACAAATTTTCAAGATGGCGCATTATATGCATATTTAAATTGGCTTTAATTGAGAGAGAGGGTATAATAATTGCGTTTCCTGATGCATGTAGGATATGATTAATGCATTTTTATCTATTTTATAGGATGGGGATTAGATATTGACGAGTAGAGCAAAACGACCAATCTCCAAAATGTCTTTTTAGGTTCACGTTAGGTTGATTTCCCAATCATCTTTTACGAGGGATGCCAGGGTTGGGGTGTTCCGGGTTCATCCCTCTTACATCATGTAGCCCACGCAGGAGGCCTCTTACCCTTCGTTCTCTCTTCTCTCTTATTTCTTCATGCTACCAATCATTCAAACTTTCATTCTCATTCATTTCAATAATTTTATTATTTAATTTAACAAAATTGACTTTTAAATTACCTAAACGATTCTTTCTATTTATAAACAAATATAGCAGGTACATACATATTTATAAACACATGTTTACATGACAAAAATCCTGCTTTATTGATCTAGGACAGCTATTGTTTCCTCAAATTAAGATCAAATAAACCGTATAAATGTAACTGAAAATATGAGTATCCAAAATGTATGGGCCAGGATGAATAAAAGAGGACACATTGGAGCTTGTAAGCTCGAGATAGAGTATTGCATATTTTAGGTTTATAGACACATATGTAACGGATGCGTGCCTACAGTTTGTTTCCAAGTTCTACCCTGGAATCAGATACTGTTATAACAATTAAATCCCGACAATATATATACAAGATATTGGTCGTCTATCTGACTCAAATAATGATTACCTACCGATTCAAATATTTGGTCTTGGTTTGGTTTGTTTACAAGATACAAGAAACTTTATTTAACGTCGCATACAGGTAAACAAGGAACATTAGCTCTTGGAAGCTTTTATTGCAACAAACATATGTAAAATAACAATAACACATTATATTACAAGTAAATGGAGATAATCACATATATTAATAAAAATTAGTAACAATTTTCACAGAAAAAGGAAGTAGCATATGCCAGGTTTTTAAGTGATTGGGAGTCCCCTACTTACAAAGGCCCCCGGGATATGATCCTTTTGAAACAATGTAAATATAAAAGTAGTGTTAATATATGAACAGCATTAAATGTAATCACAGATCAGTAGTATTCAGAATAAGTAAATAAAGACATAGTTAATAGTGAATGAAATATTTGTATATCACACAAGAATTACAAAGACAGGTTTAAAACACTATGAAGTAGAATATACATACAATGCTAATATAGCAAAGAAAAAAAACTGACAGAATATACACTAATATAGTGTGAAATTAAAAAATGATACTGAAATCAATTAACAAAATTTAGCAATTTTGTCAAAATTTATATTTTTGAATTTTTGAATTAAAATACGAATAAGATGCTGCAAAAATGTAGAATATAATTAATACTTATGCGAAATGAAAGAAAACAACAATAGTATTGTACGATCCAAAATGTCAGGTGGCAGAGGTAACCAGGGCACAGTATGAAGTATCACTCTTTACAGATATTGCAAAGGCAGATGGGGCCATCTAAGGAGTGGACAAGCCTCCTGAATTCTTTGAAGTTTTCCACTTTTCGGAAGTCATTTGGGAGACTGTTCCACACCCGGGCGGCCTCAAAAGCAAACGATTTATGTCCATACTTGACAGTGTTGACCCAGGGCACCTCTGCAGTATTTTCGTTCCTGAAGGCATAATTAGACATCTTAATATGTACAAGGTTAAGAATTTATTCAGGGGACATAACAATTTTAAAAACCTCACAACCGTAATTCTTCAGACGCCTTACATGTAGCCTATCGCTGTTGGTAATACTGAGTAAGTGTCTGAAGGATGAGTTGTGATCATTATGTATCTTTTCTAACTAAAGTGCCATACTAAAGGACAGTAGTTAAAATTTGAAACAATAAAAGAATTATAAATTACAAGTTTACCTTGTTTGGTTAAAAAAACCTCTCAATTCGCTTTAAAATGGACAATTGCCTTGAGGCTTTACTACAAATTGCAGGGATATTATCTTCAAAGTTTAAAAATAAATCATAGTTCACACCTTAAATGTCGACAACACTGATTCGCCAACACCACATTTGTGTTTTACGTCGTATTAACAGCTATGGTCATTTAATAACATGTCAGGCTTTGGTGGTGGAGGAAAGCCGGAGTACACGGAGAAAAACCACCGACCTACGGTCAGTACCTGGCGACTGTCGAACCCGCGACCCAGTGGTAGAGGGCTAGTGAAAGCAGAATGTCAGACGCCTTAACCACTTGGCCACTGCAGCCCCGATTCAAATAACAATGTAACAATGTAAAATATTTACCGGGTGTAGTTTAGGCAATAGTGATTTGAGGCAATAGTTATTAGATGGGTAGTTACGATTCAAATAATTATTGCCTTAAATCACTTCTGCCTAAACTACACCCGGTAGATATTTTACATTTATTACAATATACTTCTAACACTGATATAGTCAATAAGGCAACCAAAGCTCTGTATCACAATATATCCGTCACCCTGTATCATCAGTAAATAGACCCTTACTGCGACATCCATGACTGTGTACACCCTTTACCGCGACATACCTTGAACAAGTCTCCATAGACACTATGAAATCTATGGTTTGGTAAACCCTGGTAAACCCTGTGTCTTGGTACCTGTCACATTGTATCTATCAACAGTACGTCGCCCTGTACTATGACACCCTATGACTTTCTACACTACCTAGTGATACAATTTATTTTGTCAACTAACTATAAAGTAGTACAGTGGAACCCTAACTTATGCAGCTAGGCCAAAACTTATTCAGCTTGGTCACTATTACATTTTTAGATGTGTTCTTTTCACTTCGACCGCCAGAGTAAGAAAACAAAAAATCTGATGAAACCTCTATTTGTATACCAAGCCATCTAATAAAATGCCTTCTTTTATTAGCCAATCAAAACTACTCTTACTTCCAAACCCCTAAACAATAGCGAAAGCAAGTCTATACTATAGATCGTTTATTCAACAATGTAATTAACAAAGAATTAACCACTTTACAGAATTGATAAAATTATAGAATGCCAAAATATCAAACATCACTGTGTTAGTAAAGCGGATAATTTTCTAATTTTAGATGCTGCTAAAACGACACCAGAACGGAACGCTTACGACGAAGAAGAATGGCAGAACAGTTTCTGCTTAACAGAACCAGGTATTTTGTTTAATGCACTCGAATCTCATTTCTCTTCTTACTTCAACGAAAAGAAAGAAAGCTAAGCGCCAGAGAAGTACTTGTTTGGTGTTGGGAACAACAGAGGGTACGAATTACGAAATGCCAGAATAATAGTTTTTTGGAAAAATATTTAACTCAATCGAAATGGCCTTCGCTAATAATTTTCGCAACATTATCTCACTCTCGTTTTATATACCACCGGATATTAGCACATGTATTGATAATTTCTTACGTGTAGTGTACCATTGAAACATTATGTTTTAGTCTGTTTCTCACATACTTGTTTAACACATGGCCATTTCGCTGATAAACATAGTTCTGATCATCAACAGCACCAAACGTTCAACACTCAAACAAATGTTAGCTGTTTTATCTATTTTTATCATTGAAGAATGGTTCTCCCGGATATGTTCACGGTTGGTTTGCATTTTTGCGGATAACAATGGTAATTATACGTCACCTTTATATTACTAAGTCTTAGCTGTATGTATCGGTGCAAAAGAACTATGCCTAACAGAACATACAAAATATACAGATGGGTGTTTATCAAAAAGTATTAGTAAGTTTTATTAAGTGTTGCTGCACTGTATGCCAAGTACGTCAACTAAGTAGCATAAACAAATGTATTTAAAGATATCTGTCTATTATTAAACATGTATGAAAACAGATTGTTTTGATATTTAAACGGTACAGACTATGAACAAAGAATAGTCCTTAAACCTGTCACTAATCCTGACTACAAATTTAGACCATACTGTCCGTGATTTAATAATCGAATAGTTTATACTCGTAGTGTATGTAACATTGGTTGTTGTATAATCGTTTTTAATTTCTGTAGGTGTACAACATTCCCAAGAAATCAAATATGTACAGAACAGAGATATACCCGAAATGTATTCGAAGCGTAAAAAGGTAATGCTTGATGCATGAAAAAACATATCAAATTATTTTCAACAGGTCACGGAAACTGCTTTCAGAAACTGAGTGTTTGATAATGTTTGGATTATTTGTGAAAAATATTAGTGTATTTTAAAAAACTTACTAGTTTTTTTTTACCAAGGTTTCAGTGTTATAAAAATATAATAATAAATAAATGATTAAGAATGAGCTCATTTATGTTACCGAGATTAAATGCATACTACAAATGCTGTTACATTCCCTATATGACTTGTGGAAGTCAAGACTACTTATTTATTTTGAATGTATGTCAATACACAATCATTGCCATTTAAGGGATCTGGACCGGCTTGGAACCTGTTTGGACTTGAATATTTGACGGTAATTGTAAACATGTGAAATCGTAGTCAGTGAATATTTTGTAATGAAAAATTTCGCGATTTGATAATTTGCTATACAGACAAACTAAAATATGTGTTTAAGAAATAGTTCAGAGTTAGTCAAATAACTTATTTTATGAGGTTATACATATTGGGTAACTTAGAAAAGGAGATGTTTGTATGCATTATTTGTATTGTTCATAAGTTGTTCATAAACTAATGGTATTTGATATTCTACGTAATATTTTGACGTAAGGAAAACATTAAAAATATTTTGAATTTGCATTTTGTGAAATGAAATTAAACTACAGCTTGAAACCGTTGTGTAACAATAATGTGTTTGGTATTACAGATTTTCGTCCTGTTGTTTATGGCGCCGGAAAAGATATGTTCAGTAGAAGTAAAACGTGTAAGTAACCGGAATCATACACATTGATTGGTTAATTAGTTTGAAAGCTGATTGGTTTATCATTCATTCATTCATTCATTCAAAAACGTCACAGGAACAAAGTTGACTGGGTTCGAAGTCCAGGTAGAAACCCAAACAAAGTTAAAATTTCATTGAATTTGTCTTTGTCCAGTTGGCATTCATATTGCCTATGAATGCCAAATGAAAGCAGTTAAATGCTTAAATATATCCTTTATGTCCATTTAAATTTCATCAGTGATACCCAAAATCAACAGAATAGTAACAGTGAACATTATAAAGGCGATACATTGGCCAGGTTATGCCATTCTTTGTCACATACAAGAGACAAGAGTTATGTTTGTGGCGTTGGTTAATACTACATATATATTGTATTCAGTTTATTAGAGCTATTTCTTTGCCATTTAACTAAAAGATACACAAGAATGTGTGCACTGATATATCCAAGAGAATTCTGAATTAGTGGGTAATGGTTATAAAAAACGACTGTAACGCCAGCGTGAAATCGGTTACTTATTTAATATTGAGCTAGCCCGATATTGAATAAGTAACCAACTACACGTTAGTAAACGATGGTATATGGAAACAATGTAATCATTATTTTATCTGTGACAGGCATCCATTGCGATCCAAACCTCACCTTGTCTAATACATTGGACCAGCGAGCTGTACTTCAAGGGTAGACTGCAGTCGTGCTACTCAAAAAAACAAGTAAGTCGTTCACAACAACAAAACATTCTTACTCTAAATCTAAATGAGACAAATCCCCATAAAATCCCGTACAATAAGTTTTGTTAAACTTCTACTGCTGCAAATAATTGTGTTCCCAACCTTTCCAACCACAATTAGTGTCGTCGGGTGCGCCAGGAACAGAGTCAAGTTGGCCACCCTCGCTGTGTTTTCAGGATTTGTCATTAACAATTTTCTCAGCACATGGATTGATAACATGATGAGGCCACGCAGATGGACTCGAGTTTTTATCCACGTGCAGGTAGCATAGTATCGACTGGCCAACTTGACTGCCATCTTAATCCCCAATCTTTATATAATGATTTATTAAAGACAGACTATTTGCTTACGCGGAGAATGATAAATGAGTTTATAAACAATTCACTGTCGTTGGCCGCCTTGCACCTACACTTACACTGCCATTGGAGCAAATTGATCTGACCAATTAGATATGCTTCGAATGAGTTTACTTCATATGTAAATAACGATGTCTACACAAAGTGATATTGGGAATCCCTACACCACTGCCGAAAATGTGACTAAGCATTAGACACTATTATTCCCGTTATTACCATAACTTTGAAAGCAAATCACATCTTAAAATATAACCATTTGCGGGGCTTTTTTGAAAATAATAAAAATTACATAAGTATAATATCACACCAACAGTGTTCTTAGTGTGAAAATACAAAGTAACTAGATCGAGATTCGAACATAGAACTTCAGATTGCTATAACCGGCTGGGTTACCTGGTCAACGACTGTGTTCTGGCTCTACTGTGTCACAGTCATTTATCTCCAAAACGAAAGTAGGTGGGGTTACTGTGTATACCAAAACTGTAGTTCGTGGTTCAGGGACACCTGTTTGATCAATGTTAGAGTTAAAAAACATTTTCAATTTTTGTAAGGAGATCATTTGCGTAGTTTAGTTACTCTAATGACTAGTATATTAAGAGTTTCGCTGTTATTAGTAACACTTGCTATGGGTATCGAACAGGGCAAAGAATGATAACTTGAACAAACAATATGACAAGGACATTTATGTAAGATTATATTTATCACATAACATTCATGATTTGAAAAAAAAGCTTCAAACACGATTATGTGTTCTCAGCTGACTCTGTATAGTTAAAACCAAAGTACTCCGATCATAGGATTGTCGTTCCGCGCAGTGCAAAATAGATATTTTGATAGCAGTTGTACATGCAACGAACATAATGATAACAAAAACACATTTAAATTCATTTAAAATAACAGTAAAGATATCATGTGGTATATAGTAAATGAAAGAAGTACCTTTAATGGCGTAGAATATGTTCCCACGGATTTGACCAATCGCAGCATCTTTAGGTTTTATTACACATATGCAATACCATATTTATGGCATGGCTGTATGGCATAGTTAAATGAGTCAGTTATGTGATAATTTCACGTTATAATGGTAGGGGTCACACATTTTGTGCTTAAAATAACAATACTGATCGAAGTCTATACATATAACTGTCGAAACAAAACAAAAATCTGCAATGTTCACGAGTTTACATGGCAATTATATGAGATGAAAGATGTGTAGACAAATGTGCTTTTGAAAAATATATATCTATATTTAAACATTTTATCATTATTTTTTTTTATTTTTGTATCTTTTTATTAATTCTTCATTTATTTGTCCTCTTATATTTATTTTGATAAAATTTAAAGATGTACACCTCTGAGATCTCAAAAAATTCCTGTATTAAACTTTTTTTCTTAAATGGATGTTTGGAAAAAGGAGTTCATGACATAGAAGAAAATGCAAAAAAACCACTATATGTCCATGTGCTCGTTTTTGTGCTATGATCGGTCAAAGATACCAATTTAACTCAACATGTGATTTTAGGTGATTTTTGGGGTTTTGACTATTTGCAGAACAAATTCATACAATTTCTTACAAGTGTGTTGTCCGATATGTATGAATGTTTGTAGAATTGATGAAAAATATTATTTTCTTTTCAATTATGGAAGTAACATTTCCTAATCTTATTCTTTAACTCAGAAAGCCGATTTTAGTTATCCCTACCCCCTATTTTTTAATGAAATAATACTTTTTTTTACCAATTGTTTGCAGATTAAACGCTTGATAGAAAAGTTCTACTATTAAACTTTTTTTTGTATTTAATGAATTAAAAGAAAATGCGTTTTTCTTCCTAAAACATCGACAAAAATGGGGGGTCCGTGTGCTTCCTTTTTTGTCCCATTATCATTTATGTTATTTTTTGCTTTAGTTACACTAAATGTGTAAAAAATAAATATCAATAATGTATAATTTTCCAGTTTGTTGCATATTATTTTTATCATATTAAACATTATAAAGTTGAACAGCAAAATTGAACCTGCTACAATTAAAAGTGGCGACACAATGACAATTTAAGTGGTCAATCTAGTGTCAAAAAGGTGATTTTTTGCCTTTTTTGAAGCGCAAGAAATACACATTGATACACATTTTCAAAATGGCCGCCGAATTGGTAATTTTTGGATGCTGTGTACAGCATTCATAACGGTCCTCGCCAAGCCTGGACAATCAAAACCAAACAACAGACTTTCTTCTTCCGCGGAAGATCTTTAAATGCTGTGTTGATTATTTCATGGGATGATTATTGCTATAAAATGGTGAAATACATATGCAAATGTTCAATAAATCAAAGAATAAATGTTTAAAATTTACGAAAAGGCGAGTTTTTTCAGTGAGCATCATGAACTATATCAATCTCAGATTACTACGCTTTTTGGACCGAATAATTTCTTCACAAAAAAAACCCCAACACTTTATCTCCTTCCGCGAAAGATCTTAAGATAATGTGTTCATTATTTCATGATATGATCAATGCTATAATATGGGTGAATATATCTGTATATTTACATTTGCATGGCATTGTCACTATATAGCCTCTTTGAGAACTGTGTCGTTGATGGGACTTTAATTACCATGCCGCACGAGACATAATTACCATGCCGCACGAGACACAATTCTTAGCGTATTAATTACAACACTGACCGGAACTACAATATCCAATGTAAATAGACATGACGGCTGCTGAAATATCGCTGGGCATTGTGAGATTTGATAATGATTAATGTCATTGTAAACTTATGTGCAAAATAAAAAATAAAATAAAAAACACTTTTATTACAACGAAAACAAGACCAAGGTCTGCAATATCGTACAAAATGCACATCGGTTGAAATCACCAATGCCGGCAATGGAAACAATTTTAACGCTCATGCAATTTATCAGAAA